GGCAGGTGTGGTGATGCCAACCGTAAGCATGACCCAGTCAGTCCCCCAACTGCTGCGGCATGGCGCTTTGTCATCAGATCGCGGGCTCTGCCGGGTGAGGGTGCTTCTTGTTCTTGAGGGTGAGGAGGAGCCTCGGTGCTGGGTCCCCTCGCCTTCGAGGGTGTCCCTGGCTCTGCTCGTTTCTCCCCCGTGCGCATGAATGAGAGCAGCAGATCCTCGTTCCCGGAGGGTCCCACATCTCTTCCCAAGGCCGGTGGTTTGGGTTCCCGGCTGTCACAGTGGCCATATAAAAGGCCTTTGATATTCAGACAAGGAAAGAAATTACAGCAGTTTGCACTATCATCAGTCTCATTAGCTTTCTTTATCAGCAGGCTTTTATTTTGCTGTGGAATAAACACGAGTGGTTCTTGTCTGATGAAGCAATAGGGTAAAAGTCCGCTAATGGTTAAAACGTCCTCTTCTACACACTTGGCCAGGAGCCGGGTCTGGGCCGAGCCCTGCCTGATCGAGGCTGCGAAGAAGGAGTACGATGGGGTGATTGAGGAGTTCCTGGCAGTTGGAGAGAAGCTCTTTGGACCTTATGTTTGGGGCAGGTACAGCCTCCTGTTCCCAAAGGGCCAGGGAGGGAGCATCCCCGTCCATCCCCAGCCACGTCCGCAGGGGGAGGTGGGTCTGGCCCAAGCCATCTGCTCTTCCCCGGCAGGTACGACATCCTGTTCATGCCGCCCTCCTTCCCCTTCGGTGGGATGGAGAATCCCTGCCTCACCTTTGTGACGCCCTGCCTGCTGGCTGGGGACCGCTCCCTGGTGGACGTCATCATCCACGAGATCTCCCACAGCTGGTTTGGCAACCTGGTCACCAACGCCACGTGGGGCGAGTTTTGGCTGAACGAGGGCTTCACCATGTATGCCCAGAGGCGCATCTCCACCGAGGTCTATGGTGCGTGGCCTTGCCCGGCCGCGGGGTGCCAAGTCTCCGTGTGCAGCCCTGCCGCCGCAGGCAGGACCCGCGCGGGCTGGGGGCTGTGCCCCAC